CGTTTTCTTTTACGTCTTTCGAGGTTTGCGGCATGTAATAATAATAATAAAATGACATTTATATAGCGATCAACCCCGATTAAAGTACAGTCTCTGAGCGCTTTACAATGCAGTACAACATACAGCAGTAACATAAAACGTTGTGTTCTTACTAAACAAAATTATTCCAAATATTCATAGCGAATGTTCATCTTATTAATTTAAAAACAGAAACGACTTCAGCTGACATTTGAATGAATCAAAAGATTTGACCTCTCATAAAGTACTTGGTAAAGCATTCCAGATCTTGGAGCCTTGGTATTCAAATGTAGCATTTTTGTTCTTGCTTAAAATCAGTGAGACAGAGTCTGTCAAAGAATATGCAGCCCTTCCTGAATAAACAACATAATGTTATGAAGCACTCAAGCCAAAGCACAATATAACTATGTATACAGCGTGAGGCAGCGCGGTGATTTTCGTCAAAATTTCGCAATTTTTATACAATTTTTGTTCTTTGGTTAAACGTCTTTTATCTCCATTTAAAAACACATTTATGTGTCGAATTTTACAGAAAACATAGATTAAAGATGCAAAAAATGTAAATTTTCAGTTTCACAGGGCTCTCCAGCTACAGAATTCATCAAACTTTGGCAGCCATTCTCTCTCTACTTTTACCTCTGAAACCAGGCGACCCCCACCTCTTTCAATCGCAAATATCTCGACTTTCTATTTAAGTTAGATGGTTAATTTTTTTACTGAAAGATAGACAAATAAACAAGCTTTAAGATGGTACCAATAACTCCATATGCTCAATTATCCATAAGGCCACAGAAACAGACACAGTCCCACTCACAGAGACACACACACGTACACATCAAAACACAAGCGTTCCCTCTCGCCCCAGCATACATGGAGAGATTCACGAGCAAGCAATCGTACAACACTGTCACACTCGAAGGCACACTCACATACACTCAGATAGATGGACAGGGAGAGAAAGACAGAAAGAGGGAGAAAGAGGGAGAAAGAGGGGGAAAATGGAGAGAGGGAGAAAGAGAGAGCAAGAAAAAAGGGTGCGGGGCAGAGAGAGACACACAGA